TTAATTGGCTGCAGCAGCCAATTTTTGGTTGCATTAGCCTATCCGCAATGTCAGTATAGGATTTCGATAGGCTAATACAATCAAAAATTGACTGATACAACCAATTAAAAATGCTATGCCATATTTTACCATCTAATTTGCTGCAGCAGCCAATCTTTTTTTTCAGTGTACGCCAAATCGGCTGAACAATCGACATTATTATCAATTAAAGCAAATGCCAGACAAACGTGATGTTAATCAAGATATCTCGGCCGTATTTGCGTCATCCAGGAGCATTATATGCAAGTGCAGGAGAATACGTCGTGTTCGATATGCAAATGCTGCATTTTTTACGCGCCACGGATGGAAATGAGTAGTTGCGTGATATACCAATATATGACTACGCACCGAAAACATGATTTTGAGGAAACCAACGAGACTTTGATTCTGATTAACTTAATCAACATTATTTTATTAGTATTTGTTTCCATCAATGTAAATTAATTTTACTCTTTAATTTTTTGTTTTTTAAAACGGAAAGATAAAGGGGATATACCACGAACGCAAGATGTTTTTAGCGAAGTTTATATTCAATTCCAACAGATATAATCGGGTTACACAAATTATTAGACGTTTCGGCCTTAAATTAAGCCATCTTCACAATAGACTCATTCTATTGTTATATTTACGCCGCTTAAAACGAAGCTTGTAAATTAAAATTATACTATAATTAATGTCAAAAAAAAATTGGAAAGAAGGACGATAGGAATCAGGCGCAGAAGACGTCGCGCAAATAATACACCCATATAAAGCGTAAAACTTCTTTATTCTATTAAACGCGCTTACATGTTTCGGCTCACTTTTGAGCCTTCTTCAGAGACAACACAAACTAACATATATAAACTGTAAATAAAAGTTATCTTGTCATGGTGAGCTCCCCTACATCGAGAATATGAATGCCAGAAATTAAATCCAAATAAGAATGAAAGAAAAAAAAAAGAAAGGAAATATTGGAAATATCGAAATATGGAAAACTAATTTTAACGCTAATAAGTTTTACGCTTTATGGGTGTATTATCCCATACAGCACAAAATTTGCAGTAATATCGCTGCAATATTGCTGCAATATTGCAGCAACTTTTGTGCTGTAGGGGATTTGTGCGACGTCTTCTGCGCCTGACTCCTATCGCCCTTATTCTTTCCAATTTTTTTTGACATTAATTATAGTATAATTTTAATTTACAAGCTTCGTTTTAAGCGCCGTAAACATAACAATAGAATGAGTCTTATTCTATTATTATCTCTTATATAATCGCAGTTACTGTTTCGTTAAAAGAAGGTGAGTCGATTTAATCTCGATACATAAAAGCGCATTGATGTTTCAGGCTGCGTTCCGCTTCCGTAGTACTCCACGTCAGCTGATTCTTCATGCGGTGGCTGTCACAGGCAGCAAATGTGCGCGTTTCTGTAGTCCTCGAGCAACCGTTGCGACGTGCGTATGCGCGACACGCATCATCAGTCTTTCCTCTGCGACTCGGTATCGCAACGTCGCTGTAAGACACTCAGCTACGAATATGTGAAATGTTCTTGTTGCCACCGTTTAACGCGTGCTCTCTTCTTGCATGACGTATCTCACGGTGAGTAATTTATGTATCAGCAATTTGTAATGGAACAAGATGTAAAATTTATTTCAAGATGATGTCATACGATAAATGCGGAAATAAATCGGGAGTTCTTAAGAGTATCCAATTGTTTTTTGTAAATTTCGAACGGTCTAAAGTTTTCTTTTAAAAATTCGGAAAATAAAAAGAAATAAGATGTGCGTAAGATAATAGAAAAAAAAAATTATTGTACGTTCTTTCGGAATTAATCTTTCACTTTAAATTATTACAAATTGCGTTATATTTTGCTTCCCGTTTTTTAAGTTAAAAGGATCACGTAATGTTCAATGATTTTTTGGAAAGTATAATGTTAATCACTTTTATCAGTTTGAAATATTGTATCCGCAACTTTGCTTTCGTATCGTGATCAACGTTATTAAATGAAATCGATACGTGATGACTTAAAGGAGGGAATTATTTCCGAATTTGAATAAATGTAACTAAATAATACAAAAGTCTTTAAATGCGTCAAATCAGGAAAAAGTACAATTAGAGGCTAGGCCGTTCTTTTCTTGTGTAATCTATTCTTTAATTATCTTATCTCTTTATCGCACCTTTGATGATTCTCAACTCCTTACTATAGTGAAGTCTAAACGTTCACGTGCGAATTATACCGACTTCGCGCAAATACAGCAGTATAAAAACGCGAAAAAAAAAACGTATTTTGTTTTTTATATCACGATGGATACTATTGATCGAGATAATCCTTTTTTTCTTATTAATCCGTTTTATTATTTTCTCTCCTGCTCGTTAAATTCGCTCGCAGAGCTCGCGTGACGTCACACGACGAATTGTTAAGCAACTCTGCGATAATCTATTAATTTCTTGAGAAAACTTCCTGTTTTAATGCAGAAACGTTAATCGATCATTTTTAATCCAGTTGTTGCGTTATGTATTTTGCAGAACGTTCCACGTGCCTTTCGAGTTCTCCGTGAAGAGGAAAAACCGTGATAGTAATAAATTTTCCAGAATTCTGCGTGAAATAGGACAACGAACTGATAAATAACCGTGTAAAGTTGACTGTTGCTCCGTATCCTGTCGTAAAGGATGTGACAATCACATTGATTACGCGTTGTTTGCAGCTACTTCTCTCTAATTTTCTTCTTCTAGCGAGAAAAAGATGAAGCATTGCATATAAAAAAATACATACTCTACGCAAGTAATAGTTACTTGATTGAATTTTTCAAAAGTTTGTATATCCGCAGATCTATCATAAGTTTATTAAAAGCATTAAATTTATTCAAAATATCTTCTGAACTCTTCAAAAGAAAATCAATTCTTGTATTGAATATATCAATGAGATTTTATAAAATTTGTAATAAATATATTTTATGATTATTATCAAAAAGTATTCTTTGTAAAAAATAATCGTTACTTGAAAGGAAAAAAGTAAATTGAGTAATCACTTTTCTTATAGCAATAGAATATTTTTCTGTGTGTAAGAATAATTAATAAATTTTCCTAAATTTATTTATACAAAAGAAATTATTCATGATTTATTGAAAAGTGTCCATCACAAAAACACATTTTACAAATTTTATAAAATTATTTATCCTACTGGCTACTAATTAAAAATGTATTATTATTTGCCCCTATTTTCGTAAACAGGTCTATATTTTGCGCCGTAAAATGGATGCGTAAATGGTTGATATAATTATACGTATCTACCTCTTTTTATCAGGGTTCATCTCTTCATCGACACCTTTCTCTTCATACAAATTTGTGCCGGTCTAAAGCCTCTCATAACTCATGTACACGCATCGGCGTGAATTCATATGTGAACCGCTTCGTTACGTTCATTATGCAGTCGATCGATTGCGCTCATCGTTATTTAGGTTCGACACATGTGGCGTTTGTAAGGACACCAAAGAAAGATAAACAACAGCAAGAATGTGTGAATATTGCGACTCTTCTCGCTTGTTAACTCTCAGTTTTTTTAACGTGTGTAAATATACACGCGGGATAATCAATGATTTATACCGACTTTTAAAGACGTTTAGAAAAATTATATTAAAAAAAAAAAGATATTATATTATTAATTCTACATTCAACATTAATTATTAATTTTGCTTTCCTTTTTTAGCAGATAAAAATTTAGAGCATGTTTGCGGAGAATAAAAGGGGGTAAACAGAGAGAAATGAATTTTCTCGTCCCTTTCAGTCGACACGCAAACGTAAATTGTCGCGAGAGTATATTGACCTCAGTGTCATCAGGGCGGGTCTTAACACAAATTAGGAAATATGACTCCAGCTTGCACGCGTGTTTTAATTAAGCAATTGCCATATCCCATAACGTAATGAGTCATTCGGCGGATACCTTCACTTTCGTCAATATTTATTCATAATTTAGACTAATTTAGAAAACCTTAACTTACAGTTTTATAAAAGTAATTTTCAGTTTAGCAGATTAGATTGCTTTTTATAGAAACAGAGCTAATAAATTATTGACAATTTTGTTAATAATTAATTTACCTGAGACGCAACAGAACAGACAAAAATTTTGTCTTGTTTCCATTGAATCTAGCCTTATTTTCTTCGATCGCTGTTAACAAAATAATGCAAAATAATAATACAAAAAAATTGATACGTGTACAACAATCGAATAAAATCAGGACCATCTTAGTGATACAATACGGAGATTACTTTCAGTATTAATAATAAGAAGGGATTAAGTTCATTACATTTGGCACAAGATATCTCCATATCAGAAGACATTGTATTTATAATCAGTCTTGCTGTATAGCTGTACAAGTAATAATTTTCGGATGAAATTATCCGAATATGAATGGACCGCGATAATGATTATCGCGACATACTATCAATCCTTGCCGTTGCTATTCAGGCAGATCATACAGTCGGAGAGTCGACCGGACGGCGCGTTGATAATGACCATACTCGATAAGAAATACCAGCAAGTTCCGCTAACTCGAACAGCCTTCGCGAATGAATGTACACATCTTATTGAAAGGAACGTTTGCGGGTTCCGGCTTATCAATTCGCTTGAATAAAAAGATAAATAAAAATCTGCAGGCGCGATATCTAGATGAGAGATGAGGAAAAATCTGATTCGTTTTGAAAATCAAACAACACGGAAATTTCAAAGATTTGTTCCAATTTGCTTGATTGTACGAAAGGATCATTTCAAATACTGATGACCGAGATACAATCTTCACCGTTGTTTTATACAGAAGATGTTCCCGAGTTAAAATTACGTTGTAAAGACTTATGCGAAAATAGTTTTAATTCATCATCAATTTGTATCTGATGAGACCTGCGTGTAATAGCTAATTAACCACACACAAAATATTGAAAGTTTAACTATTTACCTTGCATATAATTTGTAGGATGGTATAATCATTAGTTTAACAGTGATAAGAATGAAGTAGTCATTTCTTATTTCATTGGTATGCGCAATACGACATATAACTTGAGGAACAACAGCCTTGATGCCATACAGTGGCCGGAAGCGTCTGTTGTTTTCTTTTCAGTTTAAGGAGTGACGGAATCACTGCACCATCGAGTAGTCCGCCAAACAGACAAAAAAATGGGATTATACTGAAAATAAACTTATTTTAAAAATGTTATTCTCTTTTAAAAAATATGAAACAAATGCGAATAAAGTTGATACGTATAAATCGTGTAATTACGTTTTTATAAGATTAGCAATGTTTATGTAACGCAGACGAGTTATTAAAGTTATGTAATTAGTACGCTTTTATTTTATAGGGAAAACGAAGATGACGTCTCGAAACAAACCAATTAAAATTAAAATTACGACCGTTGGTGATGGCATGGTTGGAAAAACATGTATGCTCATCACGTACACAAAGAAGGAATTCCCAACGGAATATGTACCCACCGTGTAAATATCATAATGCATAACTTAGTTAATGCAACAGCTCTTTGCTAATAGAGTATTCTAGATCTGTTTGTTTATATAAGTATAATGTTTGTTTATAATAAGCTTTTGTCTCATTTCTTCTCCTGTTTATATAAAAAAATGTGTTAGTTTTTAAAATATTTAATTTATTAAATAGAACTGAAATCTATTATTTTATTTATTCGATTGTTATTTACAGTTTCGATAACTACGTTGACAGCATATGCGTGGGTGGACAGCAATTCGAAATGACATTGTGGGACTCGGCTGGTCAAGAAGATTACGAGAGGCTTAGACCGTTATCGTACCCAAATGTACGTGATAACTCTCCTGATGAAAATTTTCTCATAACTTTTTTTATGAATTAGGATTTCTTTCAAAAATACTGAAGTCTATATTTTTTTTAGAATTTTTCATATATTAATTCTAAAATATTCCAAGAGTTTTCATATTCTATCATTTCTGAAAAAAATACTTTAAACTTTTTCAGATTTCATCAAAAATTATAGAATGAGAAATTTGTGAAATCTTAGAATATTTCAGAATTTACATATATGAAGAATTCTAGAAAAGATGTGTGTAAACTTTCTCGGCACTTCTGAAGTGTTCCAATTTGTATAAAAAATTTGAGATTTTCAAAAAAGTTTTTTAATCATAAATTCTAAAATTTACATGAAAATTCTCTGAGAAAAATTTTCATCATCTATTTTCAATAATAAAATCGACTTATTCATATTTTCAATATTCTAAAAAAAATTTATGTTTCAATATTCGTGCATATATAATCTCGCATTTATTCTTCGTTTGCAGACTGATTGTTTCCTGGTCTGTTTCTCTGTAAGTGCTCGTAGTTCTTTCGAAAATGTAGCGAGTAAATGGCATCCAGAACTCAAAGCGCATTGTCCCAATGTGCCAATTGTACTTGTGGGTAAGTGTATTTTATATATTAAACAAAAATGAAAGATTTCTTACGTAAAACAATTATGAAGAAATAGGAATATAACTGCTTGCGCAGTATTTTTCTTTTTGATTGCTTAGAACCGGTTTTTCACTATCTGATTAAATTGATGATAACGTAAACATTGTTTTTTAGCTATAATCACTAATGGTTTTGTAGAGGTAACTTTAAAACTTATTCACTACAAAATCATCATTTAGTGATTAACCAATAGACTGTGTTTAGCAGAGAAAGCAGCTTCGCAACTGTTGTAAAATTCTATAATATGATTGGTTTATACATTTGGATTATAAGGCACTAAGGGCAAGATTAATTATGTTAAAGAATTTTACCACGATTGCAAATCTGCTTTCTCTGCCGAATGCAGCCATTAATAGAAAAATATAATTTTTATATTATTATTAGATTAAGCCTAATTACATAAAGTTAACCAACAAATGATAAGCCAGGCCTTAATCTTTTTAAATACTTTTTACGTCTCTTGTAATTTTTTTTAATATAAATATATTTTGTATAAATTTGTTTACGTTATAAATTTGTTTTCCACTAGTAAACACGAATATTTTGTTACATTAGGTACCAAGGCAGATCTTAGAAATCATCAAGAAGCTATGGATATTATTAGTCCACGAGATTGCAACAAAATGAGAAGAAAGATCAAGGCAGTCAAGTATGTCGAATGTTCCGCAATAAAACAAGAGGGTCTTGAAGAGGTTTTTGTGGAAGCTATTAAAGCCGTACTGAAAAAACCGCGATCGAGAAAGCTCTGCTGCATCCTTTGAAATTAATGCATTTTAACGCAATTAATGCATCAGTTTGAAAAACACATCTGACGATTATAATTATTAAGACCTATGTTAAACCAAAGATTTTCTTCGCATCTTTTGTTCACATGCTTTTTTTCTTGTACATTTTATCCTTAACGATATTCCTAAGATATATTTTATTTTTTGTGTATAGACCAAAATTCTCTTGCGTCGT